AAAACCTTGCCATGCAAACCCAACACATTCACCAAGTACAGTGGGCTTGGAAAAATAATTTTCTCATGTATATCACATGATTTTATGTATGTGTGTGCCTGCACTGGTATCTATGTGTATATATACAGTTACACATACATCTCTACTGCTATCCCACTCTTCACAGCAGTCAAGAGATACTCACTTTGTTTTTTAAAATTCTTAATGGAATTTCTGTAGCCTGCCTCATTCCTTATTAACCTCATCTCTCTCCCTTTAGTTGGCTCCTGGACTGTTTGCACTGTCTTTACACTTTGGTGAAAAAGCCTTCTCCTCTGTAGGTCCTACCATCTGTTCCAACTTTGGTGTACATCTGTCAGGTCCCTTCATTCCCTTACTCTGTTCAAAGCTAATTTGCAAAAACATAGCTATATTCTGTGCCTCACCTGTGCACATTTAACTTTCTTCTTTCCATTTGCTCTTAAACTGGTGAAAGTTTCTCTTGTATGCATACTGAGTTTTATTGACCAAGAAGTAGTATTTTCTTCAAGGGACAACAAACTGTGACAGTAACTGGAATACATGATTGGGGTATATGACTTGTTGCCTGATTTTTGGAATGTATACAAATCTCTCCCATGTGACTGTTTTAGAAGAGAACTGCATTTATAACGGTAGAACTGCATTTTAAAGGTAAAGCAAGGTTAAAAAACTGAACAGATGCGGATGAGCGTTTCATTCCTGGAATTTTCCTAGTAATTTTTCATTCCAGTGAGTGTGGGTACACTCATCTGCATTAGCATTCTTGTTTAACATCATATTAATCTCCTTAAACAGCTGATCATGTGACTTCCAATCCAGTTATGGGCTGGAACATGTCAGCAATCTGAAGGTAGTGTCTTTAATATAGAGGATATTTTGCATGCACCATATGATGTGAGGCATACAGACATTATATCAAAAGCACATAAACTAAAAGTTGTTTGGTTTTTTTCAACCTGTCTCTACAGTGTTTGCAGCACAAGGCTTTTCACCCCAATGAGCCATTGCCACCCATTGAACAGCACCTTTTAGAGATGCTAGAGATGCCCCATGTGGTAAAAGAAAGGTGTCAGGCTCCTCTTGAAAAAGTAAAAGCACTTTTCCCCCTAAAGGAAGTTTGCAAGAAAAAAGAAGAGAAGACTGCTCAAGACATCTTCAAAGACAAGTAAGTTGGAGATGTATTATAAATTTTTTGAAACTTTTTTCACACTTCAAATTGGTTTTGCTGGATGTAGCAGGCTCAGAGTCTTTTGAACCTAAGATCAATGAGTTACCAAAAAAATACTGACGAGTGGAGAATGTTGTGGTGCTGCAGTATGTCTGGGGTGTTTTGTGAATAGTGGTGTTACTACTGTGGGGCGAGTCACACCAGGAACCAGCCTGTATCTTCTTCATGTCTGTATTTGTTGTCACAGAATGACAGAATTCTTCAGGTTGGAAGGGACCTCAGAAGGTTTCTTGTTCAACCTGCTGTTCAAAGCAGAATCACGTGTGAAATCTAAACAGGTAACTCAGGGCTTCATCCAATCTGGTCTTGAAAACATCCAGGGATGGAGATTGCACATCCTCTCTGGGCAACCTCTCGCGTTGCTTGCTGTCTCCTGGTCATACAGTTTATAACTACCAGTAGGATAAAATAGTTCAAATAAGAATAATAGAGGGTCTAACTTAGTTTAGAGTAAATGCTGTGGAGCTTCAAATTAGATGTAAGATGGGTCTCCATTCTCAGCATGCTTTGTTTAGGTTGCTCTGTAGCTTTCATTTGGAATACCAAATCAAAAGAAAAGCAGCTTCATTATTGTCTGCTGTGCAATAAATGTGGATGTCTTGAAAAATGAAACTGTTATGGACTCTTCCTGGAGCATCTATTATCTGAACAGTTTTTAAGATAAAATTATTTTTTTTGTTATTACATATACTGTGTTTCCTTTATACTGCAGATATGAAGAATAAATGCTTAATTGCTTCTGCATTGGTACTGTCGCCCCAGCCAAGTCGATTTGCTCAAATAAAATCTGCTTCTTAGAGCTTAATTTTTTGAATGCCTATAATATAACTAGTGGCTCCTCTGGGATGTCTGAGAGTTCTCAGTTGGCTCCTTCTCCCTCCCTTTTGTCATTTTTTAACTCAGGCCTTTCAGTGCTAGGAGCAATGTCTTTGAGCCATTTTGAGGCCTTGCTTAGCTGAGCTGTTGTATATCCTTTACCTTAGGTTGGCTGGAGCCTCTTCAGCGTATTATCTCTGGGAAGATGTGACATAGGAATTCTCACATTACTGCTGTGGAATAATGACCACATTTCTGTATACAGACTGGGAAACACCTTGCTTTTTATTGTGTTCATTGCTGTGTTTGCCTGTCTTGCCTTAGTGTGTCTGTGAATTCATACCGATTAAATTCTCTTGTCCTTGCGCTGTGCCCTAGTTTCTGTGTGTGTATACATACACTTATATGTGTATTTTAAAAAGTGATAGAACCAGTTAAAAAAGGGCAAAATGTAGGTTCAAACAAGCTAGGGAGAGAATTTAAATAAAAAACAGTGACCTGTTACTGGTAGTTGCTTAAAAACATATTGCCCCAAAGGCATCAATTTGACAAGCAAGAAGGAAAGCTATTTTGTTTAAAAACTGGCTTCCTTCAGAGGGGTGTTGAAAGCAGCTATAAAATAGAGATAGAAATTGGTGTAGGGCATTACAGATTTTTTTTAAAAATTATTTTAATAGAGGCAGAAGGATACAGACTCAACTATGCAAAGAAGAATGAATGGTAATAGGATTAAAACATATGAAAAAAAGGTGTTGCTGTAGTAATGAATGGGAATAGTAGTATTGTCAGTACTAAACCAGAAATCTTAACTTCATGTTGTTCTGTGTTTGGGGAAAAGCTGAGTGATTAAATTACTTGATAAAGTACGTCAGTCTGCAACAATGACTAAGGAAAATGTTAAACCCTGGATAACCTTCAGCTTATTAAAACTATCAGATCTAGATAATTTGCACTAAAGTGTGTTGAACAAGTTGGCTAGATATTCTTTTGATCATTATTTTTGTTTTATAAAACTGATTTATGTCTCCTATCATCATATTGACCTGATTCATCTCTGTTTTAATTTTTAAGGTCTAATGGGATTAAGGCAGCATAAATGTAGGCATGACATCTTAATACAGATTGTAATACTCAGCATTCATTTGTTTCACTTTTGCTAAGCTCTGTGTAGTTTAAAAAAATCTGGTAAAATAGAAAGCATTTTACTTTTTCCTTCTTAGGTTGGCTTTGGAGAGGCAGATACCTCATCCACATTTGCAGTATGTGAGCAGCTTATATATAAACATAGAAGTGGATGTCTTAAATTAATCTTGTATTTTATTAATTTGTCTCAAATAGTAGCTGCACGTTTTACAGTTTAAAATACTGCTAATCAGTGCATTACCAGCAACAGATTCTAAATGTCAGACCCTTGGCTGGTGTAAATGGGTATGGATTCATTAGTTTCTGCTGTACTGCACTGATTAATGATACCTATAGGTTTGGTCCTAGGCAGTTAAATGCAGCATCATCATTTATGATGTTCTCCTTCCCCCAATCCCAAAGCATTTTGAATCAGTAAAAATAATGCAAGAGGAAAAAGACTTCAAGACATTGCAATCAAGTGGAAAATACCTTTTGGAGAAAAATATTCTAAAAGAGAATTTTTGTTGTTCTTTGCACCTTTAATCAAACCACATTGATATACAACAATTTTGGTTCAAATAAAAGTTCTAAACTCACTGGTGTTATACAAGTGTCAGTTTCTCCATTTTACAGATGGGCATATTGGCTGTCCAAAACAATCAAGCAACTTGTTCAAGGTCAGCTAGAAAGTCATCAGAGTTGGGAATGCAGCAAGGTAACCTATCCTTGTGCTGCAGCATAACCAGTCATCATTTCTCTTGGAGTGATAAGTAAGGTTATGTTGGATGACAGGAGTTACTGAGAAGGGATTTCATTTCAGTAGTAGCAAAATTAAGTAAAGAACAGAGAAGACTACTGAAACAAAGCAGGATACACACTGACTGTGAAGTAGGGGAGGAGTGTGCTATAGAAAGTAAAAAGACTGTACAAGTCTTTCTAATAGTTGATTGCTTCTCTAATGTGTAATGCAATTTTTAAAATCAGTTCTAACCTTGTAGAATGCAAAGTGACACCTAGGCCAGGATCTCTGGCTTTGTCCCTACATCGTCAAGCAGTTTCTTCTTTTCACTGCAATAGCAGAATTTTTAAGAAAAACTTCTTGGTTTGTTTTGGGATTCCTTGAACACAAGTACTGCTGTTTAGATTGCTGAGTAGCTTTCAGTCATTCTTAAACTGAAATTGATTCTTCTGTGTCAGTAGCCTGTCAAATTAAGTGACGCAGAACACTGTGTGTGATTTTTTTTTTTCTTTCCCTTTTTTGACTAGCTGGATTTTTTTCTGTTGCCAAGATATGCTCTAAAGTTTGGCACATTAGATGTTACAGTTAAATTCCTGGTTTGAATCTACACCTTGGTATATGTTAACTGTGAGGGTAAAGCTAGAAAATAGCCTAAAATCACAATTGGCCTTTTAAAAATAACAAATAGTCTTTTGAAAACATTGAGTTTTAGCTTAAAATGTCCTAAGAGAGTTCTTACGTACTTAATTGGGGTTTGTCTAGCAGGTTTTGACTGCTGTAAGTGGAATTTATTAAGCTCTCGTGATGGAGAATATGGGTCATTAGACTTAAAAGCTACTGTGTAAACAGCTTTGTAGTAGCTATCAATTTCAAGACGGGAACTAGCACATAATTTTTGAAGAGTAAATGAATTTCATGCTTAAATGTTAAGTTTCATTGCTATTTCATGTTAAGAAGATCTGATGAGAATACCAAATGTCATGTAGTATACTGTAAATTATCAAGATTAACTCAATATACAGGTTCCAAATAAAGTGACTGGAGATAGTATGTGTTTAGAAAGGTGGAGAAAATGTATATGGGTAAATTCATGCCTGAAATAAGCATGAATAATCACACACCTTCAACAAGCAGTGCCTTTGTTTATGCTAAGATTAAGTTTGATCTCTCTTTCTACTGTCTTTGTGCAACCTGTGGGGAAAAATGAGGCACGGTTTAGTGTTTATTTGTGAGCAATTGTGTAATGAAGTTTTTTCCAGTGTTCAGTGTATATTTCATTGATTTACTGACTCCCTACTTAGGCTGGATGGTTTACTTTAAGTGTTTATATTCAGTGTCCTTCTCATTTGCAGCAGTGAAGATGGACCCAACCCTAAAAAACCAAAAATTGAAGATGAGGAAGGTAGCTTTAGCATCATAAAACTTACTGAAGGCAACGTCACCTCTGTAAGCATATTTTTACAAATCTGATTATTGAAGAGGAAGATTAATTTCAAGAGTATTATAGTGAATACACAGAATCCCTGAAAAAGGATGGGGTTTAGCTGAAACAGGACTGAAATATTGTCTGCTTGTAGATTTCAGACTCTATGCTAGAGATTGTAAAGACAACTTTCTCTGCCTTAAGGTATATGTTAGCACAAGGTTTCCGTCAGTCTTGCATATCTTAGGACAAAATTCTCCCCCAGTGACTAAAACTGTAAAGTGCAAGCTGGAGGAGCTGAAGAGAATAGAATCTCAGATTTGGGGTTCAGTGGTTGAATTTTGGTTTTGCTCTCTTTCATATAATCGGCAACATAAAGTTGCCTCTGTATATTTAATCAAAGGTATTGCTGTGATTTTAGAGACTGTTCTCTTTATTGATTGGGATTCGAAATCAAAAATTTGGCTTCATCTTGATGATAGGTTAAACATCTAACTTAATTCCAGATATTGTGTACATGGGGAGATGAAGTCTGTATCATAACTGTGCACCTTCCTTTATTTCATTTTTTGAATTACAGGAAAAAAGGTGATAACTTTACTTGTTTTCAAACTGTCCTTTAAGGTTGTTTTTTTTAAAAGGCATGATTGATATTTTTTAAAAGACTTAAAATCTAAAAAGATTTAAATATTTTGTACTCGTAATACACACTTCTGACTTTTCCTGAAAAGTGGCATTGCCAGATTTAATAGAAACACAGAGAGACCAAGCAAGCTTATTGAAAGATTGAAGAATTATTTTGACAGCAAATCATAAAATTTTCAAATAAACTTAGGAGAATTTTGATTCCTGAAAGGAAATGCTAAGCAGTGTAATCTTTTTTCCTGAAGTTACTGTATCTCTTTTTCAGTAGGTGTTTATTTATATTTTACCTGGTTTTTAGTTCCTTTGTGAAGGTTTCTGCACTTGTATGCCTGTTTAGAGCTTTAGCTTTAAGATACCAGACTGGGCCAGAAAGGGTAGATGAATTGAGCGCAAGCTTTTAATTTTGAGCTTCCTATTGGAGTGGTAAACCAATGATTATGTACTCACATGCCTGGGAGCTCCCATTCCTCATTAAGCGTCTGTCAAGATTAGTGAGAGGTCTGTGCTACAGAAAGTCTCAAAGCTGAACTAGCAGATAGCCTGAATTACTGTGCTTCTGACCTCTAAACCCCTGAGAATATGGTTTGCTTATGAGAGTGCAGCATAGTAAGTGTAAGTCCATCTTGCTCATGTCATAACTAACCTTTGCTAGGAGTACTGCATGTTAAGACGCACTAAGACTTCCATTTTATGAGTCTGTATGCAGAGAAATGTAGAGCTTCAGTTTACATATGAAAATAAACAGAAGTTTAAAGATTCTTGTTGCCTCGCAAGAAAAGAGGCAGATATTGGCAGATGATCATATCATTTTTGGACCTTTTGTAGGTTGGCAGTGTTAACCCAGCAGAAGATTTCCGAATTCTGGTGAGGCAGAAAAATGCTGACTTCAAAGATGGTAAATGACTTTTATTTATCTTAATTATATTCAGTAGCATCTTCAGGGTTCCGTAAATGCAGTCCATTTGTCTAAACATAAGTTTCTAGTGCTATGTGAGATGCTCTGGAGCTTATTGCCTATCTTCAAGTGCCACTCAGCAAAGAAAGGTGTCGCTCATAATTCCCAGGGCAAAATTTTCCTTCTTCATTTGAAGGTCTCAGATAACTGTGTTTGTGTAAGATGGCATTAGACAGCTACATTGAGGCATCTGAGTGACTCCTCAGGTGTTTCTGACAGAAGATCCCTTTGTAGCAGCTGACTGCCTCATTCAGACTGTGTATCAGCTTCTCCCCTGGCTTCATGGTACCTTTCTGGCTTGAAGTGGAGGGCTCTTGGCTGCACGTGGTGTGAGAAACCTGTCTTCTGCTGTCTACTTACTCTGTTCTATGAAGGAATAAGAATCTAATGCATGGGATTTAAATCTTTACATTTAAAGATTGTTTCTTTCTGCTTGTTGTGAGCAAAAGAAAGCACAAGTGAATTTAGGGTGTAATAAGCATGTAGTCTGTGACTTTTAGAGATGAGAGCAGGCTCTGTGTGCACTGAATCTGTTCTCAGCATACAGGGTTTTGATACAGAGGTAAGGAAGAATAAAGCACAGGTCAGCCACTGTCTTGCATGCTCTAAGTCTGAAAATGCAAAGAAATTACTATTTGTTTGTATAGTATCTCCCTACTGGAAGAGCTCTACAGAGATATATGGATGGGGTCCTTTTTTCTTTTAAAATTTGCGGAGAGGCTGAAGTGAGGTGTTGAGTATTTCAGCAAGGCCTTTGGTCCTTTTGGAATACTTTGAGGAGTGTGAGTAGTATTTTGATTTATGATACAGTCTGTTAAAGCCTACATGGTGGTTGTTTCTCTCCAGAATTTCCAGACCTATAAGCCAGCTAGCCAGCTTTATACATGGATTTTGCATTAGATTCAGAAGAAATTGTTTATTGAAAAAACATTTGGAATTGTGTTCTCAAATCTCAGATATATTAAGATGCAATAAAAAAGCATTGTATGGTATATTAGAATACAGAAACTGTGAAACAGTTGACTACTTTGTAATGATAATTAATTCTATCATGTAGGAAGGCTTTAAGGCAGAAATAAGTATAGTGATTACCCTTGAAGATGGTTTAAGTAAAGAGTGCTTAAATATGTCCACTTGGTAGCTGTGCTGGAGATAACTGCAGAACATGTTTGGATGGCTTTTGAAATTTTAAGCAGTCTGCTTTTATTTTATGTGTGATCTGCTCTGTAATTACAAGGTGTAGTTAGACAGAATGTAGTGCAGTCACCCATTTAAAGGAGAGACAGAAGCCACTATAAATAAAAACATGCTCTGCATGTTATTTTTTCTTCACCATAATCCTTTTTCTGCTTTAGAGCCTTTTAGGTAGCTTAATACATAAAAACATTACTGGCATGTTTTTAATGTCTTGCTGTATTGCTGGTTATGTAAGTAGTAAATTCTGCCTTAAAACTATTCAGTGATTCTAAGGGGTTTTTTAGTATAATTTAGTGTAATTTTATATCATATTGAATGATGAAACTTTTTCCTGTGCTAGAACAGGTAACATGTCTTTGCAGGAAAGGATAATCTGTGGCATTCAAATAGTTTTTTTTGGAAAAAAAAAAATATTACATTTTATGTGTCAGGTTGCAGACAGGAGAACTACTAGGTTGCATCCTGCTTTGCTTCTTTCTTGGATAAAAAGAGCATCCAGTTTTGTCTTCCAAACTGAATAGACCCTACCTTCTCATTTTAAAACAAAATAGCAACAGAGTCCCTCCATAGGGAGGATAAAGGCCTTTCAACTGTTTGATTGGGAGTTGGGTTTTTTGGTAGACAGAGAAGTTGTAGAAATAGGAAGTGTTGTACTTTAAATACTGACAGTACAGTGGCTTTTTATTAAGCTGTATGTTAATGACACACATCCTCTTCAGTTGACAACTTCATAATTTTGGTGAGAGACTTGTTACCAAGACCAAAGTATGGCAAGGGGAATTTTTTTTTTTTTAAACAGACTGTAGGAAGTCCTGATGGTATATTTATCACTGAAAATGAGTACTAATGCATCCCTGTAGTGATCTTGTGGGATTTGATGACCAGGGTTTGAGCCATTCATAAGAGAAGCCTAAGTGCAAGTTAGCTGGCCTGTGTCTGATACCATGTCCCGCAGCAGGCTGGAGCGGAAGAAACGATGCATTTGCTGTTAATGAGAACTGGGTCACCAATGTGTAAATATGTTGGGTTTTTTTTTTAGAAAATGTAAGAGCTTCAAATTGACAAGGGTCTTAAAGCATAGGTTTTCTGAGACTGGCAGCTCAATTCCTGAAACAGTAATCAACTTCGGTTTTAATTGACATCTGTGTAGTTTATTACAGTAGGGACTCAACAGCTTATGTGATGAATTGTGTGTCATGGTGTCAATTTACTGGTTAAGGTTGATTGCTCATGTAACTGGTATTGTGTTTCCCCTCCAGATATCTTTACTTTCTTGTTTGCATGCACGGCCAGAGAGATGTCATTTTATGCAGGTCTTATTTTGAGCAGGTTACAAGTGCACAGTCATCACAAAGAGCAGTCTTCTGATAACAGCTTCTGACACTTTGGTCAATGAATGCAAATAAAATAGATTAGTTTGCCTGTGTGGAATCTAATCATTACTCCCAAGGGTGTACAATGAGTTTCTTCATTGCTGTGGCTGCAGAGAAGACTCTCAAATGCAGTGAGTGCTTGCCATCTTTGTAATGCCAAAGGATTAGCCACATGACTACCAGTTCATCCTGTTTGACTATTTGCAGGTTTCCATCCATGTCTGCATTTCTGGAGAGCAGAAGATCTGTGATACGGTGTGTTGTATTTTCACAGACTTCTGTAGAAGATAGGATAGTGTAATGCATATGACATATGCATCGTATGTTCTTTAGTTTGTAAATTTTTTGTGCAAGTTCATAGGCTATATTTCATTGCATCTTACAGGACTCCTGTCTGGGAACATGATGTTTGAAGTCCTGTAGTTAAAAGAGCTTTTTTTGAACTTTACTGATTGTCAGTGAAGAGAGAAATTCACAATGACAACTGTACAGTTTATGGACATAAGAAAAAATGTCCAGAGACAAATTGTACCAATTGCTCTTTTTTATTTTTTATAGCATGTTTGTTAATATTTTTATTCCGAAACACTTCTAGAAAAATAAGTCGGTAATTGCACATGTAGATTTCAGCAAATAGGCTGTTGTGCCTGAGGTATCACACTTTTGCCATGGCATGCAGATAGCTGCTTAAGTAAGATGTAAACCACCAATTTTTGTACTGAATGCCTCGTATGCATAAAAGAATTGTGTCTAAGAGATTTGCAATGGGAATTTATTAGTTGCAACAAGGCCAATATTTTATTGCAATACTTTCTGAAGAAATGTGCATAGTTAACTACCTTTCTAGACCTAAGACAATTAAAAAAAACCCTACTGTTTACATTCCCTTTTTGTTGGCATATGTCTTTGCAGTTTTTCTGCATTTTTATCTTGCTGGATGTTTTTGTGTATTTCAGAGACTATTCATGCATTTGGCCTACCTAGCAGTAGAGCAATGACTGGTTTGATGAAAACAATTCAGTCACTAGAAGACTATTTGCAAACCAAATACTTAAGTATATAAAATCACTTTGAAGTTTTCTGTACGTCTGTTTCACAGAGAAGATGAAGCCAGATTTGTCTTTGAAGGGCATAGCAACTGGGGGAGACGCAAAGCTCTGAGTTGCAACAAACAGAATTTGGATTAGATGTTATGGGAGAAAAGGATAAAAATCACAGTGATGGTAGTCAAACATGGAAAGAGAGGCCCGGAGGACTTGGAGACTCTCCATCTTAGGAGTTATTTTGAACTCAGGTGTGGAGCACTGAGCCTCCTGATCCATAGTGACCCCACTTTGAAGCGAGGATTTGGACTATATGTCCTTCAGACATCCAACCTAAATCATTCTGATCAATACCCACAGGCCATTGAGGGAGACCATTTCAAAACTGAACATCATCTCATAGGACACTGGAGTAGATCAACAGCTCTTGACTTTAAAAATCTTATTTCCAGTTCAGAATATCTTTCTTCTTTTCAATTACATAAAGATGATACTTAGAGAGCAGGAGTTTAAAATTAATTATTAGGTGGTTTAACTGATTTGTTAATATAAATCATTATCACCACCAGTGGATAAATCTAAAGATTTGTAACAACAGGAGTCTTTCATGTGCAGAAATAGCTATTTTTTAACCTGATTAATTTTGGGGGGGGGGAACCTCAAGGAATTTAACTTGGGCGGTAATACAGTTTTATCTATTATTATTGTGTAATCTGGTTGGTGTAGTAATAAAGAGAAAGGACTCAAACATGACAATATAACTATACTTTTGTACTGTAAATATTCAGACATATAAGTGAATATAATTGTTCATGACATACTTCACAAGAAGTAACAGGACTGGTGCATGTATTTAGAGTAGAGAATGTGTCTGAATGCCAGTGGGGAAGCAATTTAATTCTGTTAGAACTGAAAGATCTTCTATTCAAAGGTTATTTTTTTTTAACCTGTAGTTCTCCAGCCTTTAATCACTGTATTCATTATCTAACCAATCAGGTACAGTAGAAGGAGGAAACAGGAGATTAAAATTTCTTGTGATGATCTGCAGAATGTGGTGGTTATTAGTGGTACTGGAATTCCAGTTTATGCAAAATGTGGAAGTTCATTAGTTCATTTTACTTAAATATGTGAGGGAATGAAGGGGGTTGGGAGAGAAGAGAAAGATTATTATTACACAGTAGTGACTTAAATAGTCTGTCAGTTTGTAAATCTAGGACCTTCACTACAAAACCCCAATGCCTGAGATTTGTCTGGGACACATCAGAGTTAATGGTGATATTCACGGATGAGTTGAACTGGATTGTTATGCACAACATGCCCATTTGCAGAGGTGGTCTACTTTCTGCAGCCCCCAAAACCCAAAGTTTCACACTAATGCAAAAGCAGATGATGGGAAGGGAAGAAGGAAAGAAAATTCTCAGAACTAGAAGTGTAAAGGAACAGAATCCACTTTGGAGAACTTCTAGTTATAATCCTTATCTACCATCTCTGGTATTGTCTTTGGCCCCCTGAAGTGATTTGGTAGTCTACTCAGAACACAGGAATTTTATCTATATTAGATTCATCAGTCATTGGCCTGTTGTTTAAGGGAGACCCAGTGGACGGACCCAATTTTAGCCAAGCTGTTTCAATATGTTAGAAGACTCTGATTTGAAATATTGTTGCCATGTAACCTGTTTCCTGCATATGTTATGGTCTTTCAGTGCTTAGTAAAACATTGTAGGGTGTTTTTGGTTCCTTACAACAGATTTCACAAGGAGACAGCTCACAGTCAGTAGTAGCAAGAAAGTCTTTTCTGATGCCTGCCAGTGCAATCAAATGGAAAGGGATTTAAAAAAAAATAAATGCAAAAGTAGTAGAGTGTCTGATAATTCAAACAGTGTGCTGGAATCATTCTGACAATAAAGACTTTTATTGCACCCTTGTAGTGCCTGGGGTTTTAATTTAACACATCAATGAAAAGGCTGCATTTAAAAAAAACACCACCACCACTGAAAACACCAGCAGGACTTGCTTTTATTAGTGCAATTCGTAAGAAATTAGAACATTTAATGAGAAAATCGTTAACCATGAAAAAAATGGACTGACTTAACTTGGGGAGCTTAAGTAGTGAGACTTCAATTTAGTTTGTCAGCTACTGGTAAAATAAATAAGAGTGAGCTGATCACCTCTGGAGCAGTAGGCACTTCAGCACACTTTCTTGTGTGATAGCTGCTGTTGGACAGAACTGTTATTGGCCTCCTTTCTTAGAAACTCTGTAGAGTCAAAAGCTAGTAAGAGTATCAAAAATTTCTTGTTCTGTTCTTTTCACAGATGCTTTTCTTCAGATTCAGTTCAATTAGGCATTTTATGGAACGTAAATATAACAGCTAGCACTTTGTATGCTTACAGTGAGCAGAGTAGAATACAGTATTTAAACAATGTCTGCTTCTTGGTGTGTTTGTTTATCCTTGTCTCTTCCATTACTCTGGCAGATTATTTTCTATGTTGATGTTTCTATGGCCAAAATAGTTACAGTGACTTCTATGCCCATACCATCTGAACATAAGGTCTGTAGGTAAGACTAAAGGTTCTGTTAATCCAGTAACCTATCTTTAACAGTACACAAACAGGACAGGCAGATGCTGTGATTTGTCCAGAATGCTTTCCTGCATTTTCTTCCTCAATGGCAACATCATCTTTAGTCTCCTCATGGATTTCCTCTTTTAAGGATTCTAAGAATTTGTTCAAGAGTTGTTTTTTTTAAGCCGTTAAGAATTCTAGTATCCCACAGCAGCCTGTGGTAAAGAGCTTAACTGATTTTGTTTGAAGAGCTACACTTTTTTCATTTCTTCTCAACACAACTCTTTGCTTTTGTTTTGAGAGAGTCAGTGGACTTTCAGTCCTTGTTTATCCTTTTCACAGTGCTTCTGAGTTTATAGATCACTGTTGTATGTGCTTCCCACTTGCCTTTTCCCAGGCTGAGATGTCTGCCAGAGGGTAAAATCGGACAGTTCCTCACCTGTAATTAAACATGAAGAAAATAAAATACTAAAATCCAGCAGAATTTAGTTGGGCTCGCAGAGCTCCTGGTGACATTTTCACTTGTCACATTTGCAGTGTTTTACAGCTACCTAGCTTTTAGGAGCTCAACAGTGAGGATGAAACTGGTGTTCCCCTTCTTATTAGTACAAGTCTCATTGTGTCTGTTTTTCTCTCAGGCATATACAGTTTATAATACTTATCTCCATAATCATAAAGAGCATTGCCCTGCTGGAAAAATCATCAGACTACATGTACAGAGACAAGATATACTCTAATGTCAATAACAACAAGGTAGTCTTTTAACTCCAATCACCCTACAGCTGTTGTTTTGACATTATTACAACTTCATTGTAAATTTAACACTTTTATGGAAATATGCACATATTTCAAAGGATGTTTAGAGGATATGCTTTGTGTTGCAGAACAAAACCTCCCTCAGCTTTAGAATCCTAAATGTTCTGGTTTTACATTCTATCAAACAAGTTATGCTACTGCTTTTTTTTCTTGGCTTTCAGGGAAAGACTTTTGCCTTGGCCATGCTTGGGTTTCTTCCTAGTATATCTAGCTTTTCCAGAGAGGCTGAAGTAATTGTCAGTAGCTTAGATAACAATTATCAACTTGAGTAGCTTGAGGCAGTATGGGTATGATTAACTCTTTTCATGCCTGTAAAATAGAAGAAGAGAGACGTAAAGGAAAAATACTTTTTTGCCTTGAAATTGTGCATTCTTTGATTTATTTCTTTCTCTTTGTCTTTCAGTGAGTCAGCAATTGATAAACCGCATTGATCAGTTCCTGGAAAATAAAGGCTCACAGTACTACATGAAAGGGATCAATTGTATTAGAGTTTTCAGAGAGGAGGCCATAAAGGTAATGTTAATATGTGAAAACTCTCATCTTTTTCAAGGACGTGATGGGCCTATTTTGCTGTATTAGAAACTTGGTAATTTATTTCTACAGCAAAAAGAATTGATTCATAGATCAAAATCTGTTATGCTGTTTGAAAGTTTAGCAATACATTTGCATTTTACGTTTCTTTATTCTTACTGGAACGAGGACTAGCTTCTCTGGTATTACTTACTGATGTTTGTTTTCTTTTAAACATAAAAACATAAGGCCTGTGACCTGATGCTTGTAAAAGAAAAATAAGCAATCCTACAAATTTCTTTGTAAATAAAGCTAGTTACAAGAAAGTCTTTCTAGCTTTCTGAAAGGCAGTTTTGGGGCTCTCACCTCGTCTTAGAACTCTTGTTTTTTGTGGAGATAAAACCCCAAGGCTGTACTGAATTTTGTGTTCACTGTGTTAGATGACTTAAGAATTAAGTTTGTAGTGCTCTTTAGTAAGTTACTTTAATATTTCTCTGTTATCATTGCTCTTATTTTTTTTTTTCAGCTGTCCAAGGTGCAGTGCTTCAATGATTTTCTGCAAGCCCTGAAATCAAAGGTGGAAGATAAAGCCTTAGCTGATTTCTGGGAGATCATCATACAAGGTAGGATAGCATTTGGGGGTGTGAGGGGGAGTATTATCCATTACATAAGAGAAAGCTTTGTTAGCAATGGGGCACTTAAACTAACCCCAGAGCAGCATTTTCATATGGCAGCCTGTTTAAAAAAAATTAAAAAATACTTTTATGTTGCAGCTTCCTTTTTTTGCACTGATGGTTTTGTATCAGCAATATTCATAATGCTCTGCCAAGTCTTTTTGAAATGGTAAGTTAATTGTGGAAGGAAACAGACAAATGTAACAGGGTAGGGAGAAGAAGATACGATTTCAGCTGAATTTCCAAATAAATGGAAAAAACTCATGCAGCAGAGATATAAAAAGATTCTTCTAAATTAAGCTTCAAAAAAGGCATAGATAGCATTGAAATATGTCACTGATCATTTTGTATTTAAGCAATTTGAAGGACAGAATATATGGCAATATGACACCTACCTATGATTAAACTGCGAGATACAAGGCAGTGCAATTCCAAAAGACATTCAGAGACTATGCAAGTGATAAATAAAGAAACATTTTCACAAATACGAAGCATGGTGGACTAAAAAAAATCTTTTACGTCATACTCTTGTTTTTAATTGGAACCAGTGCTAAGAAAATCTGTTAAATGCCCAGCATCACAAGATAACACTGAAAGAATATTATATTCAGTAGTATTGTAGGGGACCTTCTCTGAAGAAATTTGGAAAGACAAAACCAAACCAACAGACTTTGAAAGTAGGAAACTTGGATCTTCCAAAGCCATGCTAGAATACTATTTTAATAGTTTTCAGTTGGTAAGAACTAGAGTTTTTAACAAACTAGATCCTATTTTTGAGAAAGAAAAAAATACAAATACAAACAATGATATTTTCATACAAAATAGATTATCTTCTTGTGAGAAGAGGATAAAATCATGATGCTTTATGCATAATCTAATGGCTCTCATTAGGTAGCTGAAATTGCTTTTCACTTGCTGCTACCAAAAGCAGAAGTCCTCTTTTCCCTGCCTCTTGCCACATGACCCATCCCCTCTTTTCTGCTAAATGTGGCATGCATTGGGCTTTGTCATGAGTGACTGTGGTCACCAAAAGAGGATGGATGTGAATTAATGAGTTAATAGTGGCTCAGGAGCAAGGCAGATCTGTTTGACAAGTTCAGTTGTCTGATGAAACCTTGCCATGTGGTGCTTTGGGCACGTTAAGGTGGCGTTACACTTGTGCTGCTGCTGAAACCTTTAAGAATCTTACTGTTCTTTGCTCTTGCACCCACAGCTGCTTTATTCAGGCACAAGCATGTATGTAGCCAAGTGATGAGCTAGACTGGAAAAACTATTGAGGTAAAAAGTAACTGAGGTGGTTTGTAGGGGTTTTTTGGGGTCACTGCACAGGATGGTTTTGCTGGCACAACCGAGGAGCAAAGTGGGGACAGGACCAGCACTTTGGTAGTCAGACCCTAGGTAATCCCAGTACAAGTGTTTGTATGTTAGGAGTTCATTTTTCTAAGGCTATTAAGGACTTAAGAGCATGATGTGAATGACTAAAAGTGTAATTTCTGATAGATTTTTCAGCATTTCATCTGTGATCTAAGATTCCAGTGTCTCATTAGTTTGATTGTCATAATATTAGCGGTTTCCTAAATGGATACTTCTACAAGCTTATGAATATGCTCATTAATTTATTTTTATATCATAGTTGACTCACTTATGCAAGTCACATTTTCCTTTGAGCAATATTTTTTTATTATTTTTGCTGGTGATGACACATTCAGAAATTGGAATTTGGAAGACTTTTTTCATTTCTAACGTTAAATGCATTTTTGGGAAATGTTCTAATGATTTTTTTATTTTTTTTTAGACAGAATTTCTTTGATCACTAAAGATGAAGCAGAGGGAAGTGCGGTGACTAGTGAAGAGGCTGAAAAGGTATACTTTTTTTAATGAGCATCTATCTGTATAGAGCCCATGCTATGGAACAGAAGATTCTTTCTTATGTGAATAAATCTTTAGGTGAATGAAATAGGATCCATATGAAGGAAGAAGAGTGTCCTTTTGCGATACAACTGAAATTGCCCCAGTTCAGAGCAAAAATAATTCCTAGTATGTACCACAGCATTTTGCTTTAATTAGTCTTTAGGAAGTAGCGAGTATTGACATCATTATCTAAAAATATCCTCTACAAAGAGTAGGAACTTTAGAAACTCAGTGTAGTGGAACAGAAATAGGCTATTTATCTATGCAAGATCACTATTTGAACTTCATAGAAAGAACCGTGATCTCATTGTTATCGTACAAGTTCAAAAATCAGGACTTTTTTGTCTAGAGGTGTTATGAATTCTAGCAATATAAAGTTGTTATGGCTAGTTTTCACCATGTATGCGACAGTATCGGTGTTTTCCACTTTACGCAGCTCTTGTGGATTGATTGACATCGTAGATGATGCTGATTTTATTAATGGTGATCATATTAGATCCTTTTGAAAACAAAAGTCTTAGAGTATTTGCAGGTATTCTATCTACTGAAGTATAACACTTCAGTAACTGCAGTGATGAATAAGGGATGTCACAGTTACAAAGGAGTCAATTTCTAACAGGCAGAATGGTGTCTTCTGTTTGAAAGAAAGCAGAATTTAGAGTTGCTGTCAAAAATTGGATTTGTGTGGAAAGGGTAAGGACATTCTTGTATCAGGCTGCTAGCCATGATTTTAAATAGTTTAGGAGAAAAAAGAACCTTATATTGCAGACCCTTCAAGGTAAACCTGTGGCTAAAATCACTAAGTACGTTGCAGAGAAGCAGCTTTTCTAAAAGATGCCACATTGATTTCTGCAACTTCCAGGCCTTACATTAGCAATAACCAGAAGGAGGTAGAATTAAGTTCTCCGTGAGTGAATTAATGAGCGTGTAAAAGGTTGTATTTTAGAAACTGCTTTTTTCATCTGTAACAATTTACCTCAAGGTGAAGAAGGCACAGAAATATCATGAAAATGAAAAACTAACTAAGAATCCAGAAAGCTAAGCACATGTACAGAGTACAAATGACAGAATATTATGTTTTTTCTAGACATGAAGGACCTACACATAATTGTATAGAGCAACTTTTTTCCCCAGTGGTGTTATTAAAGAGTATCAGGGGGTTTTTTATATATTCCAAATGCAATGAATTTACTTGGAAATTTCTTAAGACAATATTTTTCCTGAGAACTTCACTTTCTAGTCTGAAACTACCATTGATGCTCAAAATGTGCTAATGCTGTGTGAAATAGTCGCTATTCCTTAAGGAAATCTCTGCTAGCTACAAAGACCTTACGGCATACTGTTGTCTTAACTGTGAGCTTGTGGTAGCTGAAAAATACTGTGCCTGCATAAGAATGCAGCACAAATTATAGAGTACCAAGAACTAGATTTACAGCTGCAAGGCTAAGCTGGAGCAAAGCATTTGTAGGCTGACTTCAAAATAACTTTTCTGGTTTAATGTCGTCCTACAGTCAGCCAGGTGTTGCATTACAGGAAATTCTTCTGTGATTGATTGAAGGTCCTACAACAGCCATAACTTCCCTTTAAAATAGGAGAATAAGAGAGATTGCATGAAATCAGCTCTGCAACAGTTCTCTAACATGGCAGTTACCTTGACTTTCAGAATAAATAGGTTGCATCTCTTTGCTAACTAGGCAGTTGGCAGTCCCAGTTATTCACTAGGTAACCATCTCCCCACACACTCTACGGATCCAAAACCAGAACCCTGATTTGCCATTATATGTTGAGAGTTTGTATGACTTAAGAAATTGGAAGACTGTATATTCTTGGGAGTAAGATCTGAAGGGATAGAAAATTTTATCTTGAGGTTGAGGCTACTATAAAATCTTGTCCTCTTTGGTCCAGTTAAACCCTGCCACAGGTTTCCTGTGTAATACAAAGCCAGCATTTTCCTAGGTCTATAGTAGGTTGCAAAAATGAATCATTTGTTTTCTATATTGAAGGTGATACCCTTCACTAAAGGGTTATATTGATTCTTTTAAAATACCACACAATAGAGTAAAATGCAGGTTTTCTTCACCTCTGTAACAGGTCACATGCAAGCATGTAGGTTCAAGGCTGTCAGTGTGGTCCTATGTGACACAAAAACCTCCTCTCATGTGCAGATCACTGATAGCAGTTTCAGGACTGCTTTCAGGAAATAGAAGATTTCAGGTTTATAGGGTTGCTGTTTGAAGGAGAAAGGAAGATTTACAAGGCCGCTTATTAGAGAGTAATGTAACATGTAAAAAATTTCTTTTTGATTGAGCTAGGTTATCCATGCATATTTTCCTGTCACTGAGAAAAATGGTTTTAGGTAGGGTTGTTTGTTTTTTTTTTTTTCCCTGTAATAGTGGAGATACTCTTTTTAGAACACAAGGATGATAGGTTAAAAGAGCAGAGATGTCAAGTGTTTTTTCTGGTTGCTTTGGGGAAGATAATGGATTTCAGCACATCTATTATATGTAATTTGCTTTTGCATAAATGTAAAACAGGTTTTGGGAAAAAATCCAATGTTGGATGTTCAGCATTTGGTGGAAACTTCAAGTTTCAATTTATTGCAAATTTTCATTATATGGGGTTGGTTTTTTAAGGTTTTAGCTTTCTTTACCTAATTTAGTGTGGGAAAGCTAATTTTGAAAACTCTGAAAAATGTGCTACTTTCAGAAACACCATTTCCATTTGACTCTTAATTAACTGTGTAAAATGAAATTTGATCGGGCGCAAAAATCCTTTCAGAACTGACAGTGTCATTAGCTTTTAGTTTCATTGGATGTGCTTTATATTACTGCTAGATTGAGAACTTTTCCAGCAAAAAAAATAAACAGACATACAGCATCTTGAAATTCTAATTCTTTCTGGCCCTGTCACCTTCTTATTTTTTTGCAGCTGTAAAGTCTGTATGATAAGTTGAAGTCCATCTGTTAAAATATGAGTAGTGTCTGTGGATTGAGCTTTCTACATTCCTCGTGGATGTTGCTGTTTAGGATGTAGGAAAGGTCGGACCTTTGCGTAGTGAGACAGCAAGGCAGAGGTGGTCTACGTTCTCTGTCCTTGGTGTATTTGCTTTTCATCCTAGTGAATATATCTGGTACTCTTCCACAAACGGGATGCAGTAGTAACTTGTCAGTGTTTTACCCCTTGTCTAAAGCTGTCACTATCACTCTAGAGAAGGATCAGAACATTTTATTTATGTAAAATAGCATTTAAGCTTTTTTACAGTACAAGTATATTGTCTCAAAGATTAGTAGTGCTCTGATAGGGATCCTGTGGCCTTTTACACAACCTCCGTGGCTGTTATAGTTGCTTGTTACAGTAGCTTGCTTTCAGGAGCCAGCTGTTTGCACAAAAGAGTTACCTAAACTCTACACAGGTATTTATAGCTACTATTTATAGTGGGTTTTTTCAAACTAGCTGTTCTCTGTCATCATCTAGAGTTATAACAAAGTTGGTTCCGAATTAAGGATGATGGAACTCAAAGTCATGGAATGTGGCTTTTGTTCCTCCCCAGCTTTCACAGTCATCTTTTTAACTGGGACAGCATTGTTCCTGGCTCTGTATACTTGTTCTGGGGCATTTTAATAAGGAAAAGAAAATTTATGATGTTGTAGTAAGGATATTGCTAAAGAGACAGTAACTAAAACTTGTAGATAACTGCATACATTTTAAGTAAGAGTCAAATATTTGGTTTTGGTTTTTTTTCTACCATTCTAGCTAAATTATTTTTTCCTCACTATGTTAGCCTAAGAGAAAAATAATTCAGAGGTGGTTGTACTCCGGATATTGTCTTTCTGTTTGATTTCAGTTGTTACAGTATCTGAGCAACTTACCTTTATCTTCTGTTTGTGAATGCCATGCTTTAAGTGAAGGGCATATGGTGAGTTGTATCAGCAGCTACGGCAATAGCATTTTACATAATGCATTTTCTATTTTTAAAGACTGGCATTCTAACCATCTTGCGTGTTTGAGGATTTATTTTTTTTTAAATTCATGTCTTTGTTCATTTGTTAAATGTAATTGAATTAAATGGGAAACTTCTAAGTTCCACACAGAACTAGAATGTTGTACTTAAGAACTTTGCTAAACAAGCCATTGGTCAGCTTATGTATGTATTCATATCAATGGGGGGGGTGGTTTGCTGCCCTTTAGCTACACACAATATTACTTTTTAAAATTTTCTTTTTTAAGAACATAAACATGGCCATACTGTAATGGACAAAATTTCCATCTGGCCCAGAATCCCATGTTTGACAGTGGATGGTAACAGATGGGTAGAAAAAAAGTGTACAGTCCCAGGCTCCAGTCACTGATATCTCAAGTACTTCCTGTGCTTGAGATTTGTTTCTGTGGAGTTAGTAGACTTCAAAGAATTTCTTTTCTATGAACTTTCCCCATCTCCTTGTGAGACTAGGGACTAATATTTGCAGCATCCTTATTACAGGGTGTTGTACAGCTTAACCATATGTTGTCTGAAGAACCATGTCCTTTCATCTGTTATTCAACACACTTCACCATAAAATCCTTTAAAAGCAAGTCTTATGAAATTTGCTATACTTTAAGATGTTTTTGGAGGGTGGAAACCAGAGCAGACTTCATAATTTTTAATTACAGATGGATTCGTTTTGATATACAAAGGAGATATTCTGTTAATTTAATATTAAGGGTCTGAATTTTGTCAGTATCATATAAATACATTTGTATTTTCAGTTCTTGGCTCCGAAGGAAAAGAAAAATGAAACTCTGCCTCCCACAGATGAAGGTGGTGATGTTGATGATTTGGTGAGTACTGTGCAGAAATGATGTGGCATTAGAATTAAACAGTAACTGAAAGGTGCAGTGAGTGCTTCCTAAAAGCGTAGATTAGAGTGCATGGCTTAGAAAACAGCTAAGGAATTGAGTCAGAAAGGAGCCATGTGAAATTACTTATTTGCTATTGTAAAACATAACCAGGTGTGTAATTTCATGATGGCAAATATTATGTTATATAGTAACATGGCTGTTTACATAAGTTAAACATGTCTTCTAGAGTGTTTCAAAAGAGCCTGTGAGGCTGCTCATTTGATAGCAGATTGTTGTAATTTACTATAATAGCATTTAACAAAACTTGTAGATCTAGAACAGCTATTTATGTGGGTTGAAAACTGAAAATCATTTTTTAAAAGATGTTTTAATCCTCTCAATTAACCTTCTCTATATAGGATTGCTGAAATTCAAAGATTTCAAGAGGTTTTTTAATAAATGTTTTAGCCATTTTTTACAGGCTGAGTCATTACAAATCTATCTCCAGGGCTTAAGCTGATAGTGTAGACAGTTTTAAAGAAGCTTCAATAGCAGTCAGATTCCTACTTTTGGAATGTACTTTTTTAAATCTATAAATTGCACATATAATTATGTGAAGGTGAGAGTTTTAGGTTTGTTTTTGTACTTTATAGCAGCTTAATACTAAGTTCTGTGCAGTCCATTTATGTTACATGATAAGGATTTCTGAATTTATTTTGTTTTCTAAGCACTAAACACACATAAGAAATAACTTGAATTCAATGCTGCGTCTTCCAAATCTGTTTCTTCTATTTGCAGCTGGACATGATGTGACTGGGTGATACGTAGTGACTATACAAGCCAAGTTTTGGAAGAGATCTCCCTGTGAGATGGGGCACAAAACAAGATGCTATTGAGAAGACAGTATATCCATCTTTATTTTCTGAAATGAAAGCAGAAGTCCCAAAGACATTTCCAGTTGATATAAATGTCATCTGACTTTTCAAAACTAGAACAAATGATTGAAATAATCTGAAGTATTTGTGAAGTAATGATACCATTAAGGCATTTCTTTTTTTTTTTTCTTTAGTACACTGAATCTAGCTTATCCTTGGTTTTGCTTTCAGCTAAACACTACTAAATTTAATGAGAATCTGCGCTGGCGCCTGAAATTCTTGTTACCTGGGAAGGAAGATAGAAATGTCACAGTGAGGTTACCAGGTAATGCTGAATCTTCAGTGGAGGTAACTCCATAGCATTATTGTTACACAAGGGAAAAAGTCTCTATTTTCATGCTTTATTCCTGTTTAAAAAAAAAAAAAAAAGAGGAAAAAACCAAACCCACAAATACTTATAGGAAAAAATTCTAGGCCAGGGAGCCACAGAGTAATAGTTTTAAATACACAACGGAATCTAAAGCACACAGCAAAGCCAAGTGTGCTGGTGTTGGCACACTGTACCCAAATCATGGTCATATCTGTACTACAGGTTCTCTATCCTGTCAGCTCAGCAGCAGCTCAACAGTCTCTGTCTCTTTCTGTTAGAGATTTTCCTGTTTTGTTTTTTGGACTTTTAACTAGTACAGTTACTGTAGATATCCCTGGTGCTAAAAGGATGAATGAATCAGTTTTATCCCCATTTCATACACTGCAGATAACTGCTAGCACAGAGCAGAAGAATCCGTGAAAGCTCTACACTGACACCTGTGATAGATAACTGGTAATAGTTAACATTGGTAACCAAAATGGAGTACTGTCTACACAGAGCAATCCAAAGTAGTCCAATACAGCTTAGAGATACTCAAATTCGATTACAGATCTAGAGAGACACTAATGACACTTTCACAGATGTTTGTTACAACCAGATTCATTCCTTTAAAAGCTGTTCTTTCATTATTGCAAATTTATAAGCATACTGTGCAAAATGGTATTAAGATCATAAAAAAGAAAAAAAATGACCTGTAGCCAAAAAATATTTTGGAATATCTGCACTTTATACTGAACAACAGCTCCTGCGTGGGAAACAGCAGTTGCTTTTTGCTCCTACCTCCCTACACAGCGACCTGCTCTCTCCTCTCTTACATGCTATCCTGATCGAGTTCATGCAGACTTTGAAAGTGTTTCTCAATTGCAGATGGCAGGGAGTAGGTGATCTTTCCAGACCTTTAGAGCATTTGTGTCACTAGAAGATATTTTTCTAAATTGTAAATAATAAATATTTGGTCTATCCATTGTTTTGAATGTCTTTTAAGGCCAGTTTATAGAGTATAACAATGGCTGGGGTTTGTTTTTACATTTTATTAATTTGTATGATTAATAAAATATTTAAAATTTTGCTTTTGTCTTCTTCAGAGCTATGTTTGCTACAGTCCGGTGATTAACTACCTATGCAGTACCTAAGAGAGACTATCAAAAACCCCTTTTCTGGGCATATGATGATAAGTCTTGGTCAAGACCAGACAGTATATAGAATTACTTTGCAAATCAAAATAAGGATTAGGGCTTTCTGTTTCTTTTTAATCAGTTGACCACAGTTTTAGACAGTATTGCTTCTGTCAAGCAATGAACATTTAGTTTATGGAGTATTATTTCATAGATCTTGTTACCTGTACAGCACATTTAGGTTCAGTATGGTAACTGAGTTGCTAGTACTGAAGAGGGGAATGGGAAGTTGAGTCCTAATTAAAATAAATGAAAGCAAATTCTTAGAAGGCAAGCAAAGTGTCTTTCATTCTGCCCAGCTTTGTGGGTATTGGTCATCAGAAGCTTGTGATACGTCTTCCTGAGGGTCTACCAGACGGCAACCTGATTTTTACACTTGTTCTTTGGCAAAGGGCCAGCTTTCGGGTTCTTATTAAATGACTGGAAGAGATCTTTCACTTAGTCTAAGCTCACATTTTCAGTTACAAAGTCTTTGTTATTCACTGATTACATTGAGGTTACTCATTCTGAATTGCAATACTGGCCAGTCTTCAGGAGCAATAGAGCCTCATTAGTCATCCACTTCAAAAGCAAGCATGCAGGAGATGCCATGCAGATTTGTTTTGTTGCAAACAGCAGAACACCCCCTGTCCTGTACTTCATAGCTGGAGAAATTATTAATGTGCCTAAAAAAAAAGGAAAAAAAATGGTTGTGATTTTGTTATGTGTTACTGATTTATTTTCTTTGTACCCTGGAAGGAATGCCTATCTGGAAAGCTCTTTGGGTGCTGATAGTATGGGATGGTATGGTTAGCCTTGTTTGCTGAGAGATCAAAGCTTACAATTGTCTGTGTCTTTCTCTTAATCTACTGCTCTGATGTCTCTTTAACTCATTGGGCAGTATCAGTCAGCTTTGATGGAGGGGCAGTGATTTCAGCGTTATGTTTTAAAACACTTTTATGAAACTTGATGCTGGGAAGAGATGAAAAGGAAAGGAATGAAGAGTTCAGCCTTTTTTCCCCTCTTTGGCTGCCCTGGCAGCTGAGAATACCAGCCAGCAGGCCAATCAGCATGTCACATCAGCAATATCATGTGTTGCCTAGTCTGCAGGTCCTCTTCTTTCTTCTCGTCCTCAATTAGAAGAGGAATGTGCACTAGAAAAAATATTTTGCAGCGTGGACTTTGGGAGGCGGAAAGTATCCGAGAGGTATTATACCAGTAGGTATTAAATACCAGTAGGTATTAAACCTGTAAACAAACCGGCTTGAAGTGGCCAGAAGCGCTAAATTTAGTACTTTGGGACATTAGAAACATACCGAGGCAACTAGTGGGTGTATCTCCAGCAGAAGTCTTATTTAGGAAGCATAATTAATATGGGAGGGAGCTGGGGCTGTAGTGTGAATACTCCACAGAAAAGACAAAATACTGGTTGTGGGAGCCATAGAGGAGAATGAGGCTATTCCAGTAACAACGCACCAGGAATCTGTAAGCGTCCAGGATGTGTCAGTTCTGCTAATGAAGTGGCTTGCTCTGTCACCGAGTAGTGGGGTCTGCAGACTCTTTAACACAGTTCTCAAGTATTGTCTCATTCATTTTTGTATTCAGAAACCCAATTCGTGCTCTTGGACAGTTGTGAAAATGTCACAATAGTGGAAAATAACTTCCAAATGTTACATAGTTGAAGACTTGTGATTTGTGTGATACTAGATTGGCTTGAAATGAATTGTCAGGTCAACAGTATGGTGTCAACCTGTTTGTAGAGTTCTGGAAGCAAGGCTCCATCTCTGTCCTTACAGTGTGGTATAAAAGTATGACACGTACCATCAAAACACTACTAATGCAAGTAGATCTGTTCTGCTGCATTGCCTTCTCTTAGCTGCCAGGGTAGATTTTCTGCTTGCTAACTTTCCTGATACTTGGGGTTTGGCAGAATTGTCTGTGTGCTGTTGGGGCAGGGTCTTTGGAATTAGAAAATGAGGAAGGAAGTCCACAGTCATCTGTGGAAGACTGGAGAAGTTATTTAGGCTGTGAATTTTGCAGACAGAGCCCATCTTTATATTCTGCAGTTGCACATTGCTTGGCATAGCAGATCCTGCTCTTAGGCTGAGGTTGCTGGCCACTCATGATAGAAGGTATGGGAGGAGTTCCCTTGTCATCTCAGCTGGGCTGGGGTATTGAACCTGAGGAATAGATTACCACATACTAAGGAAAAGAAACCACAATAGGTGAAGTTTTATTTTGTAAGACTGTCATAATCAAATATGAACTCAAATAGATACATAAAAAAAAGGCTGTGATTTTTAACTTCTCTTACCTTTCCCACAGGATGAAAAACCACATTGAACTCTGCATAAAAATTTGGCATATATGCAGAGATACTCTTTACTGTACAAGAAAATTACTTGGAAAACATTTGAACATGTCTTAGCTTAAAGTTTGACTGTATTTTTCCATGCAAGTTTTAATAAATGGAAAGATTAGTGTCCCCCTCTATTCCCCCACTCACCCATTTACTGTTTTGGAATAGTACTTGCATTTATGAAAGAACTAAACAAGAACTAGAAAACCTGTCCCTTCCTCTAGTTTTTGCAGACCTGATGTAATTTTAATGCATCTGTGAGCTAAGAGTGCCTTAAAATAGGCTTGTCGCTCATCCGACTTTCTCCCTGCGCATACTTACTGTACTTCAGTGATTTAAGTTGGACAGAAGTTAATCTGCTGCTTCTTCCCAATAACTTTGTGAAGCCAGCGTGACTAAGGCACAGTGAAATGAATCCTGTTCCTTCTGGTGCCTCACCAGTACAATTCTCAGCTATCAACCATCAAAAGCACCTCTTTTACGAGCAGCCTAAGGGTACTCATAGTACTTTTTGCTGTTACCAAATCATGAATTATTTCACAGCATTAAAAAGTACTTCAAATTGGTTATACATATATTTACTGATGTGCTAATTCTTAGGACTCCTCTGTATGCACCAAGTCAGCTGTATGGACTCCTGTGAGAGTTTGGGAAGTTTGTGATGGAATTGCTAAGTTGACCGTAGAAATGTATTTAATGTTGCTTTCAATGTATCAAACCAAAGGATTTTTTTTTCTTCCTTACTTTTACTGAGTTTCAACCCTGTCTCATCCTTTTTTCCTATTTTGATGTGCAATAATGGGCAGTAATAACTGTCATTTCCTTTTCCTCCAGAAGGGAGTGAATCTTGCAGCTTTCAAGATATTAACAGAAAACAGAAATGCCTCCAGTACAGGGTATAACTAGAAACATTTTCTATCTGCTGTCTCAGACAATACATAAAGGGAACACAAGTCCCTGAGGAGACCAACTGTGGTGCATATATTTTTGCCCGAAGCTGGTGGATCAGACAAAATGGTAGGTAAAGTAAGGTAAAATAGCTGTGGTACCTGATTGTTGGAGTTTTATATGGCTTGGATGTATGAGAATTCCTTCTCCAGCCTGCTAATGCAAGTAGTCAAATGACAAATATTTTCTCCCCACAGAGTGAAGTATCTCTGCACTGTGAAGGAATAGTATATGGCCCCTCACCATGTTGG